CAGGCCACCCACCTTCACCCTCCGCCTCTCCTCCTCCGCCTCTGCCCCATTGTCATCATCAGACACCTCGGGCGCCTCGTCCCCCGGCCCGTCCAGTGTGTCCTCCAGCCGCCCGATCTTCTTCCCCTTCACCAGGATCTTGTGCTTCAGCTCCTGCGGGGTTGTGGATGGAGAGGTAGGCAACCTGGGGTGCCCATCTCTCCATGGGACCTGCTGTCTCCTGGGACCCCGCACTGCTGGGGGCCAGCACCACCAGCTCCCTGCAGCACGGAGGAGGGAATGGGGTATGAGGGCTTCACCCTGCTGTCCCTCTGGCTCTGCAGGGCACGGGGAGACAACCTTGGGGACAGCTTTGGGAACCCTGTGAACATCAGGACACAGTGTCTCCAGGGGCCCCAAGTGCTCCAGCAGAGCAGGACAACGCTGGGACAGGGATGGCCTTTCCTCTGGACAGCAGAGCCACCTCCTCACCCCACTCCCATGCAGGACAGTGATGCCCAGCACGGCCAAGCTCTGTCCCTACCTCTGGGGATGGGAGCTGGGTGGGGACGTGCCCATCAGTGGTGGCGGTGAGGAGCTGTTCCCCCAGGATAGCCTTGAGCTGCTGGGCCAGGACCTCCTGCTGCTCCATGCTGCAGTGGTTCTCCAGGGACAGGATCACCGGGTAGTCCGAGGTCTGAGGAGCAATGTGCACAGCTGGAGATCAGCCTCAGTGGGGTTGAGGAGCTCTCACAAGGGCTTTGCCCAGGCGTGATCAGTGCCAGGATGGAGCCCCTTGTGTGTCCTTGTATTCCCCCAAGACCTTCATACCCCTCCAATCCCCCAGCATCCCCCATATCCCATCTCACCCCCGCATCCCCCAGGCCCCATCTCACCCCTGCACCCTCAGCAGACCGTGTCTGCTTGAGCTCCTGTCCCCTGGCACAGCACAGCGCAGGGCTGTGGGTCAGACCCCCCAGTGCTGTCCCCCAGGAAGGGACACAGCCACCCTCCTCATCTGCGGTGGGGTCAGGCCTGCTGCAGGACCACGCGTGTGAGACCCAGCACCGAGCCCCAGCACCACTCCCCTTCCAGAGAAGCTCACTGCCCCAAATTGCAGCCACGTTCCCCCCACACCTGCTGAGGGCCACCCATGACACCCAGCACCCAGGGAAGGGTGCCCTACCTTGAAGGCGTACTTCCCCAGGGTGCTCACCACCTCCCGGAAAGGGATCTTGGAGGTGAAGGTGTGGCCATGGTACACCATGGGCTCCCCGTTCGGCCCGTCCCAGCAATCCACCTCCAGGCACCGGCAGCCCCGTTTCAGAGCCCTACAGATGGGTGGTCACCCCTGGGACCCCACACCCAGCCAGGGCACCAGCCCCCTGCCCTCCCCTCTGGCTGTGGGTGTCACCCCTGCAGGGACCAGGGGAAAACCGCCAAGGTGGAGATATGATGCTGCATGCAGGGCAGGAAGAGCTGAGCTCAGCATCCCCAAAATGGAGCCCCTTGCTGGGCACCACATGGCACGGCCACAGGGGTGCTGGACCAGGAAGGGGCAAAGGAGCTTCTCCTCTTGGTGGGTTTGCCCCATGGGGCATGGCACTGGGGCAGGAGGGTGCTGGGGGGCAGCCCCTTTACCTGATGTAGCCCTCGATGCTGCTCTGGCCCCGGATCTGGTCCTCTATCAGGTAGGTGTTGTGGGAGGAGGAGATGAAGTAGTGGCAGAGCGGCTGGTTCATGTCCTGCCACAGCGCCCGGTGCCGGGGGTTGAAGATGGAGCCCTCCGGGGAGCAGAGGTACATGAGGAACCCGTCAGCACTCAGCACA